TTTTTTTTTAACATAATCTTATTTGATTTGTTCCATTTATACTACAGGATATGCATCAGTGTTCTCTGAACTAGACGTGAGGGTAACCGAAAAATTCTTAGATTTGGACGAGACGTTACCCCGAAAGAAGTCTTAGATTTGGACGCGAGAATACACCCAAAATTCTTAGAGTTGGGCGCAAGAGGTACCCAAAAAAGTCTTAGATTTGGACGCGAGGGTACCCCAAAATCTCTTAATTTCATGGCGAGGGTACCCCCAAAAAATTCTTAGTTTTGGCGCCAATTTCAAATCATGTTCGTGAGAGCTAAACTATCGCGGGTTTGATGATGTAGGGCAACATGGCTGCCTTTCCTTTTGTCATTTAACTCAGATAGTAGAACATGACCASTTATTATTGCCATCAACCACTAATGAATGGAATTTGACGGGTGAAATAGGTGGGTTTGAGTGTTTATTTTCACAAGGAAATGAAATACATCAGAGAAAGAGGAAATTCCGCCTTGCAGAAAAAATAATAATAACAGGATTTATATTTGCAGTGAAGGAAGTGATAAATGAATTGACTAGGTCGGTGTTTGTTAACATGTTCTAAAAGGTAGTAGTGTTAGAGACATCAAAAGGTGTTAGATCCATTACGGAGTTGAGGAAAACAGAGCGAAATAAAGGACAAAAGGAAAGGTGAAGAAAGGTGCCGAAATAATTGATGGAGAAATATGTACTGGAAAATACTGTTAAATGAGTTATTAACCCAAAGCTGAGGAAATGTGTGGAATCACAACAAAAACACATTTTATGGTGGAGAGATCATTAAAAATCCGTTTTCTGGTGGCTAGGATGACAGAAGAACAGAGTAATATAAAGAGAATATGGCCGAAATATCGGGGAAAATAGAAACTTATGAAGAACAGGTGTACTGATCGCGCATGCGCAGAGAATATTAATATAATGCGAAMATGTTGAACAGCAAGATACTGAGAAATAAGAGTAAATAAGAAAGATCGATTCTTAGAAAAGAGATAAAAAGTCAATAAAGGATAGAGAATGAGA